CAGTATAAAACATGACTAATTAAAAGAAAAATAGATGAACACAAAAATGGTAAAATTACCTCATCCATGAGAAGTAATCCCCATTCTCTATTTCTTATCTCCTCAATAATTTTTTCAGATTCTTCAGATCTCTTACCACCAAAAGCAACCATGTTATAAGTTGTCACAACCACCCCAGCATTACCTCGGAATCTTTCTTTACTATCTGATGTGAAACGACAAATTTGATCGTCCCGTATGGTAGACCACAACTTAAACTGAAAAGCCCACTGATCCACTGATACAGCATTCGTAGCTAAACAAAGACAGCTTTTTCGGATACGACTTGCTGCAGAAACACCCACCAGAGACTTTCCAGCTCCACAAGGCAGTACAATAATGCCAGATCTTGCTCTACCTGCATACATATAGTCATAATCAGAGCTTGAAGCTAAATAACTGACCATTCTTAGTTAAGGCATTTGGGAAAACTCAAAAGAGGGGAGAAACCCCAAGCTACCTAAACTGGATATGAGGCCAAAGAGTTCACAGGATAAAGAGGAGGATATTTTGGTTAATACAAACATTGTCCATCTGAATGTATTTCTTTTTTATAAGAAATAAATTTCTATTTAATGATAACCATCTAATGTGCTAAAATTGTAGCTTTAACATATTTTGAAACCAAAAGAGAACCAGAATAAACCAAAAGATTATTTCTTTTAAAAACGTACTGTTTAAGAAAAAAATAAACGCGAGTAAAATAGGGTGTTGAGATTACTTCTATAAGCTCAATAACAAGCAACCCAAAAAAAAGACACCATGTAACAAGAAAAACGAACCATTTCCAAACATTTTACTAAGGCTCTTTTCCTGATACGGCCTTGGTTGAGCTTGAGGCTTCAGCTCCATATCCAAGTCTGGATTGATCTAAAAATCCAGGAGAAACTATTGAAATAAGATCCCGACCTCTTATGTAGAAATATTAAAATTAGTTAAAAGTTAAGACAATTCTCTTTCCAACATCACTGTTTGGTGGAAGACTCACGGTGTCATTTCTGAAATCATACTCTTCCAACATGGGATAGTTTAAGGCATTAGGTAAGCAGCGTTGTTTTACATTCTCGACCTGTCATTTGATCAAGAGCCAAAATACAATAAATAAGGAGAGGAAGAACGACAAAAATTTTAAACATCAATGTGTTGACAATCAGATTTAAAAGGTTAGAAACCATATTACTTGTGCTGGGTCAATTTCAAATGAATGAGTTTCTCTTTCCTCAGCTGCAGCTGCAACTTCTGCTTCGTTGAGCAATCCTTCATGGCGATTGCCAAGTTCACCTGCTGCTTTGCTAACTGTAAATTCACCATTTCCACGAGAATCCTAATGGATTCCAATGTCAATAAAATCAAGATGAAGGTATAGCCGAAGAATTCACAATAAATGTGTTGGTAACAACTACGTTTCAGTAATTAACTCATCAGTTAAGACCATACCTCAGAAATGATTCTGGCTTTGGATATAACCTCATCCCGGAGCAGTTTCTGCAACACCTGCAGCCATTAAATGTAACCATTGAGATCACTCGATCAAGACTAGACCATGTATTTCCATCAAAACAAAGAACCAAGTTAAGTGAGCACTTGCCTCTGGAAATGGGGATTCCACAAGATATCGGTTCTTTTTAAGCACAAGCTTCACCTTGCCATAGTTGGCAGTAGAACCATAAATGAAATCAATCATCTCTTTAGGGAGTTTGGCCTTTGACAACTTACTTAGAACGGCAATAATCGTTTCCGTCTCCAGACCAACAGAAACCGCAGCATATAAGGAATGTGGAGTGAGGTTATATTCATGCATTGATTCTGGCCTGAATATTGATCAATTAGAATACTGAAATTAACAATGACTAAATCATAACTGGAATCCACCAAAAGTGTCTGCTTCAATTAGATTTAAGTTACCTGCAAACTGGTTCGGCAATGGCAATAAGAAAATCATAAGCTTGTTTGTACAAGGGCGAGAAGGTTTCAAGGAATATGCGGCCATCAGCACAAGCCCATAAAGGCCGATTAACATGGTCAGGTTTTAACTCTAATTTGCTGAAATCTCTCTTTTCTGCTTCTTTATCACCTTGGATAAACAAGAATTTCACTAAATCAATCAGAATCCACAATATCCAGAACCCACCTCCCCAAATAATTAGATAAATCAAATCCATCAATACAAAACCAAATATCCTCAAATCACACGAATAGAAGATTTGTACCATTACGATCGTCGTCGTCGAACTTGTCAAGATAAAAGGCATCGTCTTCTTCAACATTAGCTTTCCTGAAATCCTCCTGAATTTTGCTCAATTGATCATTATTACGCATTACAATAACAAAAAAAAAACCAAAATTTCTGCTAGAAAAACACACCGAACCAAAGTTAAAAACCAAACAAACCTTGCCGAATTTGGGTCTTTTGCTTGGTCTTCCCTTGTCACCTGAAACATTCGACGTCTCTACGTAAACACTAATCTTCTCTTGGGCGAAACAAATAACCCCACAAAAATTTCAAAAGAAAAATACAAATATCATAATCCACCACCGGTTTACCATGTCCCATGGCTTCAAAATTAGATGCACAACTTGCTCGGCGATCAGATGCGCTCGGTTCTTAACGAAAGAGAGTGATTGATATGAAATTGGAATCCACAGAGAGAGATGGAACACCACCGACTATCAATTATCCAATGAACCGCCTCCGATTTTAAATAGTGAATCGGCGTTCGCGCTTCGGCCGTTCGCCGATTTAATATACTGCAACATATTGTTCCATTCTTAACCCCAACAAATAAATTATTAAATTACAACATTCACATTCAGCATTTGAGTACTCAGAAAAAAAAAATCAGCATTTGAGTGGCATGTTTATTTTCTAGAAAAATAATTTAATAATACGTTATTTTTTTATAATTAATAATTTTAATATTCTTTAGGAAGTAATTTAGTTTAATATTTCAAAAAGAAAAAATAAATTGAGAATTGATAGTCGCCTGGAAGATTAAGAATCATTGTTGTTAGTTTATTACATCGAGTTCATCTTTTTATTTGTTTTACTTGAAATTTTCTCCCAATGCAATAATAACATAATTATTTCCCCTTGTTCCATCCATTTTCAATTCAGATCATATAGCACAACGGTTGATTTGTCTAAAACAATCTAAAGAAATTCGACTTGGTCGTAATATTTCTATTCAAAGATGATCAGTCGAGAGATTTTTGTAGAAATAAATCGGGGTGAGACCAATGAGCACTCCGATACTCAAATCACTCTCAAGACGATCTATTTCATGTTAAAATTGTAATTAGATTAGTGTGTATCTGAAAATTAAGTTACTCCGCGGTTGGGCCACATCGCACACTTTGTGAAGAATGGCTAGAATCTTGCACCAACAAAGAGTAGGGAATGAGAAATTTTATTGAGCTTGCATACCAAATTAGGATTCTTAGGTGAAGATTAGTCTGAAGTTGGAGGATGCTGAATAGAAACAGATTCTTGTAGATCTCCGCTTCTCCTTGATTCGATTGATCGACCCTTCCTTTTTGCTATACGTCCACCCCTATAGTCAAACTGTAGGTCGACACTAGTGCTCCAAAGCCTATTATTTGTTCGAAATAATCACAGAAGCTCTTACGGCATGTAGATATATAACCAAAGTCTCTTGGTTCGAAATACTCACACAACCTATTATTCGGTCTCCAACGATGCATTTTTTGAGCAATTGAGAATGTTCTATATAGATAACCAAACCAACTTTTTCATGACTGTCAGTTGTTTCAATCACTTGTGCTAGTCTGGGTAAAAGTAAAATGGGTAGATTTTCATAAAAATTTAGAGGATTTAAAATAAAATCATTGAAATTTTTATTTTATATATATATATATATATAATTATAAAGACAAATTAAGAACCACCTATTTTATATTATATAAATGATTAAATTTATGTTAATCCATCGGTTTAATCTTTTGAATTTAATCATGTTTCTTCTCCATCCCATTTCCACCCCGTGAACATCCCTACCTCCAATCTCAAGAGAAAATAGATGTTTTTATTGTTCGGATGAGCTTGCTCAGGTTGGTACTAACAAATTTAGAGTGCGTTTGGATTAACTTTCAAAATCGTTTTTAGAGAATCAATAACTTTAGAGTAGTTATAAATTGATCTACTAAAAATTACTTTGAGGTAATTTGACATTTCTATAACCATTTTTAGATTTAGTGCAACCAAACAAACTTGTAAGAAGCGTTTTAAGGAATTTTTTCTCTAGAAAGTGATTAAATTAGAAGGTATGTCAAACTCAACTCTTAATTTTTTTTAGCTCAACAACATGGGGGTTTATAGATTGTATATGCCTTAACTAGTTGAATTATGCTTGGGTTGGGAACTCACCTTACTTTAAATAATGGTATTTTGGTCCGTATATTTTCAAATATTCATTATGGTTATTGTACTTTTCATTTTAATCTATTTTAGTCTCTAAATTTGTGAAAAGTTCATTTTGATTATTATACTTTATACTGTGACAACTTTGGTATCTATTTACAAAATTTTGCACATAATGAAAAACATTTAATATAAATATATTAAATGTAGTGTCATGTCGAAATTGTGAGAGAAAAATATTAAAAATAAAATTAAGTGACCAAAATAATGATGTTTTAAAGTACAAGAACAAAAAAATAAAATTAAGTGACCAAAATGATGATGTTTTAAAGTAAGAGAACAAAAATGAACTTTTTAACCCGTAAATAATTTATAGAAAACTAACCAACTAATTATGTTTATTTTTCTAATAAAATTTAAACCAACCATAAAGTAGTATATTTGATTATCAAGAGTGGACCTAAAGGACTGAAATGAAAATGGAAGAAAATTCTAAGGGCCAAAATAGAAAAACAAAGAAGTTGGGGGTGAGTAAGTTATTAAGATTTGGATGATACGGGTTCGGAACCGGTTCAGGAACCGGCCCGGATCTGGCAGCAGAGCAGTTTTCTGTACTTGGGTTCTGTTCTTCCTCCCATTTCTTCGTCTTCTTCAAGTCGATTTGGCCTGACTCTGAAAATTCGGGATCCCACACTCGAAGATGAGCGGGCACGACTCCAAGTACTTTTCCACCACCAAAAAGGGTGAAATTCCCGAGCTCAAAGAGGAGCTTAATTCCCAGTACAAGGCATTTCTCTCTCTCTCTCTCCCTCCCTCTTTTTCTTCATATTTGCGTCGCTCAGTCAATGTCTAGGTTTTCATTTTTTGATCCGTGATCTATATCAATTTAGCTGATTGGTAGCTCAGGTTCTTGTTTTTTTTTTAATCGTCGTCTTGTCTGGATAACCCGCAGATCTGTTGGTTTTACTATGTTTCTTGTTAATACTAGTGTCTGAACTGCTGGAATTATGATATTCAGCACGCTTTGAGATGAATTTATTATGTCTCAATTTTGAGTCCGAAGAAGATATATTTCAGTTGCTGGTGATCGACGGTATACGGGCGGGGGGTGGAACTTAAAAGTTTAATGTTTGAGTCCAATAGGACCTGGGAAGAATTGGTCTATGTTCATTCCTCAACTATAATTTATAGTTGGTCATTTTGATATAGCTCCTACACCTCTTGTTCCAAGAATAAAGTTCTATATGGTTTAGTATGCTTAATTTTTCTTCTTTATTGACCAATATATTGATGTTATTGAATTGATGCTTATATGTGGTTAATACGTGAAAGTTAAACTGGACATATCATATTATTTTTGTTTTTACCCATGAGGACCAAAGTTTGGGTTTAGCGGTCACTTGGATCAAACTCATGCTATATGACATTTTCATTCCTGGCTTGAAGCTTCATGCCTCTGGAAGTAGGTCTTGGTAGCAGAAAAATGGGTTTGTTCTCAGTTTAAGCTTTGCATCTCTTCAAAACATTTTGCAGGATAAGAGAAAAGATGCTGTTAAAAAGGTCATTGCTGCAATGACTGTTGGGAAGGATGTCTCATCACTGTTCACAGATGTGGTAAACTGCATGCAGACTGAAAATTTAGAACTGAAAAAGCTGGTTTACTTGTATCTAATTAATTACGCCAAAAGCCAGCCTGATCTAGCAATTCTTGCCGTGAACACATTTGTGAAAGTAAGTACTAAATTAATTTTTGTATTTTTGCCAAGTCTTATCATCTTTAGGTCTGGTTTAGACGTTGAAGTCAATTAAATATATCATGGCCTCATACAAATAGCAGGAATTGCAGAGAAACAGAGTACTATTTATGAAGTTGCTCCATTTTCGTACTCTTAAGATATTATAAAAGGATCTGTGTCGAAAGGAAAAAGTACAAAGAAATTAAAGAATATTGAGTGCTCAATGAGAGATGAGATCTTCATTTTTTCCAGTTTCCTTCAACGTATTATGTATTTTTTCTTTTTGAGTTAGAATATTTGTGTCCTACAACTTCAGAATTCCCACATATTTGTGTCTCCACCCTGTAGAATTTCCCGTTTTCTGCTTTCCATGTCTTATGGAGCTTGCAAACCCTTGGGTGTCAACAGCGAGTCAAGTTAGACATCACCAGGAGAAAAACATCTGATTTGCTTCTTTAAATTACTAACGTGGAATACTCCTGCTCTCTCACAGAAGTAGGATTATTGATACCTTGTGATTGTGGGCTGTGGAAGCTCTTGAATGTAGGGACTTAGCATCCATAAAATTCTACATGATTTGTCCTCAATCTGCATAGACATCATAAAATCAACGTACAAGTTAATCTGCTTGATTTACATTTTAATTCAATCTGAGATTGGATAGGTATTGAAATACATCATGCGTCTAACTTTCTGAGTTGTCAGGGAATTGTAGAAGTAACTTTTCTAATGCATATTTGTGCAGGATTCACAAGATCCAAATCCTCTAATTCGTGCTTTGGCTGTAAGGACAATGGGATGCATTCGTGTGGATAAAATTACGGAATATTTGTGTGATCCTCTACAGAGATGTCTTAAGGTTGTTTTTGTGGCTCATTCTTACACATTTTTGCTGTTAAAATTCAGTATTTCCTTCTATTTGTTAATGCAAAGTCATTGCCTGATATCTGGATAAATTCTCACTTTCCTTCCTTACTTCCAATATACTGGAATATCTATGGTTATGGGGTGGAGTTTTATTACTGTGTTATGAATTTAGACTCAATTATCTATTCTTTTGGTTTTTTAATGTTTTTACAGGATGATGACCCTTATGTCCGCAAGACAGCTGCCATCTGTGTTGCCAAACTTTATGATATAAATGCTGAGTTAGTTGAGGACAGAGGTTTTTTGGACTCTCTTAAAGACTTAATATCTGACAATAATCCAATGGTTGTTGCAAATGCTGTGGCATCTCTCGCGGAGATACAGGAGAATAATAGCAGACCTATCTTTGAGATTACAACTCACACGCTGTCAAAACTTCTCACGGCTTTGAATGAATGTACAGAGTAAGTGCTGCATTTGATTTGTTCAAAGCGTGAAAAGTCTATGAATACTTTATGGGAAGGTCATCTAATAAGAAGATAATTATTTAGCTTTAGTTTTCCTCTTCTCCCTAGTACAGCTGATTCTGTATCCATGGGATATAAGATAATCTCTTTTATTTTATTTATTTATTTATTTATTTCATTTTTTGTTTAATTTAACTTGACTGGAAGCAGTTAATTATTTTGGTTTTAAAATGTCATATAGCTATGCCATGTAACTCATCCAAATATTGGCATTTGGTAAATCAAAAGAGGAAAATTCCAAAAGGGTAAAAGTAGTCTACATGCATATGTGCACTAAAAACAACAAATAGGGTCAAGTTGTTGACAAATACTTCTGTACCCTGATTTCTTCAGGTGGGGTCAAGTTTTCATACTGGATGCACTTTCTAGATATAAAGCAGAGGATGCTCGTGAAGCAGAAAATATAGTGGAGAGAGTTACTCCCCGGCTACAACATGCTAATTGTGCAGTTGTTCTATCAGCTGTGAAGGTCAATATTCTATTAAGTAATAGATATTCTCCACCATATATATGTGGGTGGTTTTAAGGACGTTCAAATTATTTCAACTAACTAATGTTTTTTATTTTTCTTCTCCTATTTTCCCCTTATTAATAGATGATTCTCCAACAAATGGAACTTATCAGCAGCACTGATGTAGTTCGAAATCTTTGCAAAAAGATGGCTCCTCCCCTTGTAACTTTGCTCTCAGCAGAACCTGAGATACAATATGTTGCATTGCGAAATATTAACCTTATAGTACAGAAACGACCTACTATTCTTGCACATGAAATTAAGGTGAGTTGCTGATAAATTTGTCGAGATGATGGAGATGAATGTAAATAATCAGGATGATTAGTACTGCTCATTTTCTAGAAGCTTATTACTTAACTACTTCCCCTTTTTCCCTTTTTTGCTTTCTCCCCATGTGTGTAGGTTTTCTTCTGCAAGTACAATGATCCGATCTACGTAAAGATGGAGAAGTTAGAGATCATGATTAAGCTTGCATCTGACCGGAACATAGACCAGGTACACAATCTTCTTCAGATTCTCTCTTAATTTTTGCATCTTTTAATTTTTAAAGAAAATTCTACGAAATGATGCCCTTTTGAATTAATTTTTTTCAGGTTCTTCTGGAGTTCAAAGAGTATGCCACTGAAGTAGATGTAGATTTCGTAAGAAAAGCTGTCCGTGCCATTGGTAGGTGTGCAATCAAGCTAGAGAGAGCAGCTGAACGATGCATAAGTGTGTTGCTTGAGCTGATCAAAATTAAAGTGAACTACGTGGTTCAAGAGGCTATTATAGTCATCAAAGATATTTTTAGAAGATATCCTAACACGTAAGAAATTCATTTTGTTCCTTCAACTTTGATATTCTCTATTGAATGATTGTTTCTTCATTCCAACTTTATCATGAATTTCGATTCTGTTTATAGTTATGAGTCCATCATTGCTACGCTTTGTGAAAGCTTAGACACATTGGATGAGCCAGAAGCCAAGGTAATGGTTGTGCTGTTTTTTTCAGTAGCACAAGTGGTTCAATCTCTTCAAGTCGCACTTATATTTTATGTTCACCTTTCTGCCTCTCTGCCTCAAGGCATCAATGATCTGGATTATTGGAGAATATGCAGAGAGAATTGACAATGCAGATGAACTCCTTGAAAGCTTCTTGGAGACTTTCCCTGAGGAACCTGCACAAGTGCAGCTACAATTGCTGACTGCAACTGTCAAACTTTTTCTTAAGAAACCGACTGAGGGACCACAGCAGATGATTCAGGTCATTTCTCTACAAGCATAATTTTGAATTGCCAAATCTATTGGTGATATACGGATATACCATTTTGGTATGGTCCCAATCCCAAACGAATTTAGTTTTCAAGTGTATAGGAGTAGTTTCCTCCAGCAATTATCCGCGTATGTTTACGCATTGACATGAAAAAATCTGTTTGGCATCAGAACAATCAGAGAACTACTGGTGCAAATTATTGTAAAAAGATTTTAAAAAAAATTATGAACGAGCTCAAAAATACTTCCATTAAGATGGACCTTATTTTTTGTTCATTATTTCTTTTAGTAGTTAGTAATAAATATTTTGCTTCATGGGAATTTCAATATCTGATTGCTCATTGATAATCCTGTATGCTTATTAATAATTACTTCATTGTCAGTTTGAGCAAGATGACCATGGTCTATGTTCTCTGATAAGAGATAATTATGGTCAAACTTTGTAATTGTTTAGGTTTCTCTGGCCTCCAAATGTCAACCCTGTAAATATTTACTTCATGTCCAATTACAGGCTGTTTTGAACAATGCTACTGTGGAGACAGACAATCCTGATTTGCGGGATCGTGCATATATCTATTGGCGTCTCTTATCAACTGATCCAGAGGTTTACTGTTTACTTCTGCTAATCAATACTTTTCAGCTTTATTGTCAGTATAACATTCAATGTCTGTTTATTTGATAATAAACCCATAGCTTTTTGGGGTAGTACTATGGTAATTAGTTTTGAGGATCCATCCCCAAGCCTAATGTAATGCGAGGAAACCAAGTATATGTCATTATTTTTTCTAAAATCCTATTAAAATTTACACCGACCGAATTCATCTCGCCCTAGCCGGGTATACAAGTCTCAGTTTCCTTAGTACTTCCAATTTTGCAGGCAGCCAAGGATGTGGTTCTTGCTGAGAAGCCTGTGATTGGCGATGACTCAAATCTGCTTGATTCCTCACTTCTAGATGAGCTCCTTGCCAATATTGCCACTTTGTCCTCTGTATATCACAAGCCCCCGGAAGCATTCGTGACCCGTGCAAAGCCAGCAGCACAGAGAACTGATGATGAAGATTATCCTGAAGGAAGTGATGCAGGGTATTCAGAATCTCCTGCCCAGTCTGCTGCTGCTGGTGGTGCATCGCCTCCAACTTCTTCAGATGCATCTTATTCAGTATCAAAGAAACCAGCCTCTGGCCCAGCTTCCCCTCCACCTCCAGCTTCAGTTCCAGATTTACTTGGTGACCTGATTGGACTTGATAATAGTGCTATTGTCCCTGTTGATCAGCCCGCTGCTCCTGCTGGGTAAGTTTGAACTGGTAACAACTTTCTTATCTGCTTGGTAGTGGGTATACAGTCATACTATGGGTAGTCTGAAAGAACTTCTCGGTCTAGTCTAGGACTTCAAGTAATGCCTGAAATACTGCAAGTGAATAAGTATTACAAGACGGTAAAGTTATGCCCATCAAAGGTTTATAATCAGCATTTTCCTGGAGATAAGTATATTAGTATGACAAATAACCTCTACGAGCTTTTTGTTACTGGAACTTAATGTGTTTTCTGTTCTGCAGCCCTCCATTGCCTATTCTGCTACCAGCATCAGCTGGTCAAGGTTTACAAATCAGTGCACAGCTCACACGACAGGATGGTCAAACATTTTACAGTTTATTGTTCGAGAACCATACACAGATTACACTAGATGGGTTCATGATCCAGTTTAACAAGAATACTTTTGGTCTCGCAGCTGCAGGACCGTTACAGGTAGATTTGCATATTCAGTGTGGAGTTTATTATCCATGGATGGCATTAACTTATCATCTTACTATCTATAGGTTCCACCGTTGCAACCTGGGTCAATTGCAAATACTCTCCTGCCAATGGTTGTATTCCAAAATATGTCTCAAGGTCCCCCAAGCTCACTTTTGCAGGTAGCTGTAAAGAACAATCAGCAGCCAGTGTGGTACTTCAATGATAAGATCTCAATGCACGTTTTCTTCACTGAGGATGGGAGGATGGAACGTGCAAACTTTCTTGAGGTAAAAAAATAGATAGTTGCAGTTTCCTTTATTTATTTTTATCTCTGGGGGCATTATTGAGTGTGTCCATCTGCTTCCCTCTTTCCACTCCTCTGCATTGGTTTTCATAATTGTCATTGTTGATTTCTTGTTTTGCTTTCTCCTTGATGCCGTCCATTAAAGTAGAATGCACATTTAGGAGGGACAACCACTACTCTGAGTACCGTAATGGTGTCAAGAAAACTGTGGATTCACAATTTGGGGTGTCTAAATTTTAATTATATATTTTTTCCTATTTTCTTGTCCAAAATTTGAACAAATGCACAGAAACAGAGGGAAAATTAAACCGGAAAAATGAATAACTCTCAACTAATAATGTAAGAAATCATTAAAATGCATAAATAGACCATAATTCTCGCGATCTTACTTGAACATGATCTGTTCTATAGGTCTTCCAACTGTGTCCTTGAGTTCTAAGGAAGAATGAAAGTCTCTTGTCCGTTGGTTTGAGTACTTTACACCGTTCTTTTTGTAATTACTTTACCTTTTCATCATTAACTTAGATCGGAGGATTTCTGTTTGATCCCTCCTTCTAGGTTGGGGGACAAGGATCCCTTTCTTCCTTAACCTCTAGACTGTTTATTAGGCCATTTTAATGGTAGTATTTACGTGTTTCCTATTAAAAAAGAAAGAGAGCAAAGAAAGAGAGGAAATTGAACATGTTTTAACGTCCTCTTCATATTATTCTCAGAAACGTTCATTCCTTTTTCCACATTTTTCGAAAATTTCTCCCCCACCTGTGATGGAAACTCCTTCATTGTCCGTTGAACTGCCCATTTTTCCTCTTGAATATGACCTTGATAGGACGTGGCCACAAATATGCATTGAACCAAGGAAGAAGATTACAAATAGATGTTTTTTCAAGTTACCCAACACTTGTACCATTACCTTTTCCTCTCAACTCCTCACCTTAGTCTACTATTTTTTATCATATCACCTTAACTAACTCTACACCAAAATATTCAAAATATTTAAAAGTTAGACCGTTGTCTTGTAAAAGTAGTTGAGGTACGCGTAAGCTAGTTCAGTTGGTACGCGTAAGCTAGTTCAGTTATTCACGAAGAAAACAAAAAAGAAATTCACTTTGCGAGTTTGGTGGAAAGATGGAGTTGGAGGAAACAGCTGTCTTAGATTACTTTTTTCTTTGTTGTCTAATTTGATGGATGGTCAACTATTTAGTCTTATTTGCGGCATTCATCATCTCTCAAATGCAGACTTGGAGGTCCCTTCCAGATTCAAATGAAGTTTCTAAAGACTTCCCTGCCATTGTTCTAAACAACATCGAATCGGTTTTAGACCGACTTGCTGCTACAAATATGTTCTTCATCGCTAAAAGGAAGCATGCGAATCAGGACGTTTTCTACTTCTCTACTAAAATTCCCAGAGGAATCCCTTTCTTGGTTGAACTCACTACGGTCGTGGGAAGCCCTGGACTGAAATGCGCCATCAAGACTCCAAACACTGACATGGCACCCCTCTTTTTCGAAGCCTTGGAGACTCTTCTCAAGGAATGATTTAAATTTTGTGTTCTTCTTGTTCTTTTTCCACCCCTTGATTTTTTGTTAGTATTTGTAAATCCAAGCTGGGTATTTGTGGCAGGCCCCTCCCCCCTTTTCCCTCTTGAACCTAGATTGAATTCTAGCTTTGCCTAGACTGTTGATTTTTCTTTTCTCCCCGGATTCAAGAGTCTGTTTCTACAAGAAATTTGTTTGTAACTTCAAACTTTTCCAAAAGGTTATTGTTGCTGCAAATATTGGAAGTTGGAGAAATAGTTTATAGACAATATGTAGTCCAAATTGGAGAATGAGATAGATGTTACTTGTGAGCGATGAAGATAACTTTTTTTTTTGTTTTGCTATCTTTTTTCTGTTTCTACGTTTTTTTCTTTTGAAAATCGTGTTGGTTTGATGGCATTCTTTGTTTTCCATTTATGATAATGGTTCTCAAAGTAAAAAATTGTAATAAATTTTAGAAATTAAAAATGAATAAATGATGTTCCCTTTCAGCATTTCCATCAAGAATGATTGATAGGTTATGGGACTCGAATATTTAGTCACTCTATCTCTATATAAATTATTGTTTGAGATATTTTGTATGCACCTCGACAAGATTAAATTTAAAGTAGAAGTTTTTGTCTTTTTCAAGGGCGAAAAAAAAAACCAACCTAAGAGGACTTAATTGATAATTAACAAACGGTTTAGAAACTAACCTAAGAGGACCTGGATAGGATGGAACCCATGTGAAAATTACCAAACTACCCATCATATATTTTAAATAAGTGAATTACAAATAAAGGAAAAACAAGAATTTAGGCCCTGGATAGGATGGAACCCATGTGAAAATTACCAAATTATCCATCATATATTTTAAATAAGTGAATTACAAGTAGAGGAAAAACAAAGCATTTAGGCCTTGTTTATGACTTTAACCCCAAATTCAAGAAAGTGTAATTATCTTTCTTCTGATCAAAACCCACATAACACTCTCTGTTTCTCTCCCTCACTTCATCAATCCCTAATCTCTCGCCCTCGCCATGGCCATTCTCACAGTTCTCCACGCCACCAACGTTGGGGATTTTGCCGCTCCGAATACCAACTTCCAGGGGTTGTTCTCCAATAACGCATAGCTTATTTCCTGGTGAATCTTCCTCATTATGCACCGTTTTATCCACGTGACTTGGTTTTCATTTGCCATCTTGTGATTGCCATTACTTTGTTCATCATGGAGTAGTCGCCAGCCGCTGGATGTCGCCGGAGAAAGAGGGGTGGTGTCTGAGAGTGGACCGAGAGGAATAGAAGATAGGTTAAAAAATACATACTTAAATAAGTAACAATAGAAGTCAATAACGATTTAGTCTTAAATTTTTTTTCTATTAAATTTCTGGTTTGCATAGATTGATAAATTAAATGGACTAAATATATTTATGAATTAAAAAAGTTAAATTTTATATGAAAAAATGTAACAATTTTAATAAAAAAATTTATCGATAGAAACTAAATTATTACAAATTTTGAACAGAAACTAAATCGTTACAAATAAATATATTATATCACCTATAGGGGAGTATATGTTTATATTAAATAATGGTTATAAGAATATATTATATAACCTAGTTTAGTATACATCCATTTGGAGAAAGAATATGTTTATTACATTATTGAAAAAATGAAGTTAAAAAAAAATCCAGAAAGAAAATAATAAATATACTCCAGAATTGCTGGAAAGCTATATCACAATAAATTTAGAAATATTAATTTTTTAATAAATGTGAGAATATGTTGCCTTAATTTAAAAAACACATATATAGAAAGTAATATTGTGTATCATTGGGAGGATGTAGAAAATCTTTTTTATTCGAGAAAAATAGGAGAATATTTTTTAATATATTATATTAAATACATAGAATCTAAATATGGAAAGAATCAAGTAAAAATCAAATCTAATTTTTTAAAAATTTCACAAACATGGTTAAATATAAAAGTAATAATTGAAGGCAATCTCGAGATTAATAAAAGAAAATTACAAATCTCAAAATCTAATATGTAAAATTTAAAAACATGCGTCATTTGTGAAATATAGTTTCTAATATGACCATTAGAACCAACTACTCAAATTTAGTCGATTCAAACTTGATGCATTACTTGAAATAAATGTTAGGTATCTAGAAAATTTGGCAACATTTAGTTTAATAACCTAAAGTCATTCATCAATACCTACTTTTCTACTTCAAGTTTTATGCCCTTTTGATAACAAATGGATCCAAAATTACCATATTTTGCTATCATTAATTGGGCAACCTCCCAAGGGTGTGGGGGAAGGAAACATAACATAAGCCAGCATTTTTAAGGTTGATATTTATGTTCAATTGTTTTCTTTTTCTTTTTTTTTTTTTTTTNTAAGAAAATTTATGTTCAATTGTTTATCACTAAAAGTTGCAACCATTTGCAGTTCCATGCAAGTATTGCAATGTACCTAAAATCAATTTTGGAATAAATAAATAAAGTATTATAGTAGAAGGTAAGTTCGATTCTCCTCCGTTCATTTGTAATATAATGTTATTGAAGATAATAAAGAATTTTTAAGTTCTAATTAAAAGAAACAATTTTGAGTCGGTATGTATGAATTTTCATAGTATAGACTTCAAAGTTAGGATGTATTTGGTTATTGAAATCACTTTCCTTACTAGTGGTCATTTTTGGTAAATTAAAAAATTGATTTTAAAGAAAACTTAATTAACTCTAAATTGATTTTGAAAGTATTTTAAAAATTAATTGTACCTAAATCTCTCTTTTTAAAATTATTCGTTCTATCATCATTCTTGAAACACCTTAAATTACCTTAAGAAAAAGAGTACTCCACTCCGAGTCTGAATGCTGGCTAGAGAAATACTTGACCTTGCCGTAGAGTTTCCTCCTTCAGCTCGTGCAGGAAATTTAATGCGTTTTAATTTTTCTGTAAAAAGAAAAAGAAAAAAAATCCAACAAATAAACCCTAAACCAAACAAAATTTAATGTGAATCATATATGCACCGAATAGATTCATCATGATATTCATAAGATTACAAAATAATAAATAAATAAATAAATAAATAACAAATTACAATCAATAAATAGTAATCCAACCAAATAAACCTAAACCAAACACATTTTATCTGAGATATGCAATTTATCTTCGCCGAATTTTCAGCCCTCCGGCGGCTGTAAAAAGAAAGTTCAGTTCAGTTCAGTTCAGGCGACCGGTCGGCAGCTCTTCCCTCCGGCGCCGGCAGCCGAAAACCTAGAGGTGAGAAAATTAATTTTCCATCCATCCATCCAATTCCAAACAGGATAATGGGAACTGTTCTTATTAAATTTAAATTTATTGTTTCTGTTTTTACTTTTCAATTCTTATACTGAGTGGAAAGTCATACTCGCGCACGAAACATTCTCTCTCTACAGAGAGAAGAGAGAGAAGCCTGCTCCGCCTTCTCTGCTTCCCTGCATATGGCCCAAAGGGGAAGAACAGCGTTCTGAAACGGAGTCCAAATCCTCTCCGCTTTTCCATTGGAATTGAATTCGCAATTCGCTTTTTCCACTTCCAACGAATCGATTGAGTTCTCGGCGTGAAACGGGTAAGATTCTGCTTCCTAGACATTTCATCGCTTTTGCTTCGAACTGATTCCGATGACCGCTGATTGATTGGAAGCTCCTGTTTCTGTTATGCTTATGGATATGTGCGCGAGTTTATGGCTGTTTTTTTTTAATTTTTTTTATTCGTTCTGTGGAGCTCTGTTCGATTTTGGATTCTCCTCTGTAGGTTTATTTTGATGCTGGTTGTTTTGTTTGATTGACTTGCTCGCAATCGCTTGGAGTTTGTTCATCGGGCTTTGCTTCATAATCCGAATTTTTCGTTTTCTTCTTACTTTGCTGTTATCGACTTTATCACTTTTAGTTATTGTTTGCATTGACTGTGGTCTAGTTTGCTTCATTAGCTTCATTTTTGTTTTGGAATGATAAGTGAGGATGTCATTTTATGGTGAGTGAGGGGGATTTATAATGGATGATTGAAGACGAATCTGTCTATTATGGTTCTTTAGGAGTACTTCGTCCCTCTTTTAGTTGCCTTTGTTCCCCTAATTACAGTCACTTATTTCAAATGATCAAGCCTTACAAAATTGTAATACTGTTATTTAGCTTAGCTCATGGAAGCTGGAGATGTTATCAGTAAGTGGCTCTGCTATACAAGTTCTTGCTTATGAGAACCTTTTTTGCCCTTTCCTTCAATTGTGGTCTGGCAGCATTTCTGTTCCCCTTCCCGCACGAAAAGCAAAAAAAATTAATAAGAAGGAAAAATAGCATTTATGTTTGCTCTTTGTGAGATGCAACTCTAATCTTGATTATACCTTTAGGCCACTGTCTACTCTCTACGATTACTTCATAATATTTGCTACTAGCTTTGTTTATCTATGATTCTCTCGGCATATTATGTTATTATCTGTTATTTCATATAAACTAGTGGTCTGCACCTGTCATATCTCATAAGGAATTTTTTAGTTTACATAAACTAGTTAAATTGATTTTTATTATGTTTTCTGTAACAGGGCTAACATTCTATAAAATTTTGAAAGAGGGACATATTGCTACTGGTGCCGATGGTTTTTTGGTGTGTCTTGTAGAAAAGTATACTGAAATGGGAGGTTGCTGCTGTTGTTCTTCAAAAGGAACAGAATCAAATATTGCACCATCCTACTATTATGTCAGTATTGAATTTACCATTGGATGTTTATTTTCATATTTTTATCAATCAAATTCATTATTGTAAGCAAACACTGCAGCCATTATCTAGTATTCATTCATTTCTTAATTATCATTGCCAACAGGCCTAGTTGCATATAATTGTAGGTATTCTGTTATAGCCTGTGAGATAGTGAAGGTCATTTACATCATTTGAAACCCAAAACAGAGAGTGATTTTTATAATGAACTATATTTTCTATAAGTATTTTTATGCATTATGTTGCATAATTCATCATCCATGTATTTTCCCGAGAAGTCTTCTGCCTTCGCACGAATTAACTTAGATTGGTGGTGATCATAGGAGACGCTTGTGTGCCATACTTAATAAATCATGTAAGTTGCAGATTTAACATTTTAAGTGAATATAATAAACATTACATACACTCAAAAACTATCAGTCTATCACTTCTGTTATTTGATCTTGGAACTAGTTGAACTATATGCTGAACTGTTAGCACGATAGTGAAAAGAGTTTTCTTGCCATTGTAAACTGCCTTGCTCAATTTACTTGAATTCAAGTTTTGATGCAGTACCCAAGAGCATCAGATGAGCATGTTCCCCTGTCATCTCCAATTGGTGCTCCCTCAGCATTTTCTAGCGGGCTTTTGGTCGATACAAATCTAGATACATCAATACCTGACACTTATAGATCACCTCCCTTGCCTATGCCATATGATGTTGTTTTAACACATCCACATACTCCACCTGTGGCTCAAGAAATTGGCAGCAATAAGAATGATGCTGCAGCCCAGACAACAAATTCTGATGCAGTTCAAGAAATCGCATGCACTAATGCTCGAGAAACTTCAGCCAAGTGTGAAGGCATCGATGAATCAGACTGCAAGAAGCATACAGACTTTGAAACAGACACATTAAAGGAATCTGAAATCGAACTTTCGAAGGGTGTAGAATCTGTGGCCTTAGCAATTGAAGAGGAGGATGTTTGTCCCATCTGTTTGGAAGGTGAAGTTTTGCCAAAACTTCGTTCAGCTGCCTAGTACCAACCCCACCAAACTATGGAAACATCTTTAACCTCTTATTTTCCAATGTTTGACCTTTTAGTTGCTTGAACTAACAAGTCACCACATTATCGCTTTCTCGATAGGCTGCAGTAGCTTTCCCTTTCGATTCATCCTTTTCTATTATTTTATGCAGAATATGATGGGGAGAATCCAAAACTTACCACAAAATGCGAGCATCATTTTCATCTTGCATGCATTCTGGAATGGATGGAAAGAAGTGATATCTGTCCCGTGTGCGATCAGGTGTGTGCCTCACTTTACATTTAACGTTTATTTCTACTCATTAGCTCGTAAAACCATAAAGAAAACTTTCTTATCTCTTCATCATCCCCCCCTGAAATGCAGGAAATGCTCTTTAGCCC